CGCTGTGAGTTTCACGGCGTGAGGGTCCTGAAGTTTTGCTAGCAAGCTTTTTGGTTGGAGTGCAGGACGAGGCTTTTGGGGTTTCGTGCTTGGAGGCTTCATTGTAGACCTTCAACCACTCACGATCGCGACCATTTACAGATTCTTTCTGTTTGCGATTCAGGGGGGAGGTTGTTGGAATACGTAACAGATCCAATTGTTTTTGACCAGCTGGACGGCCAAGAGCTGCTGCGAACAGGGAAGCGTCCAAGATTCATTGCGCGACAGAGAGTGGGGGCAGTGGTTTTTAGTGTTTTCAAAGGCGACCATGGATCTGCGGCGACTAGGGCTGCGAGACCCCGATATTCCGATGATTGGTTTGGCTATTTTGGCTCTGGTGGTGACTGAGATGGGAGCTGCACCAGCTGTGTTTGATCCGGGTGGAACGCTGACAGTATGGGCTCTGGCTAAAGGGGGTGAATTTGGGCTCCAATCGACTGTTGGGGGATCAGCTGTGGTGTTTTGGCCGCCTCAGGTGGTGAAAGAAGAAGATGGTATGTGGGTGATTCGTCCCCCCCTGAACCGCCGCCACAGAGGAATTACGCGACTAGGGTTTCGAAGACGGCGACACAACTAATATTTATTTATTTGTGCCATGTTCTGTTTGGTAATCTTTCTTTTGTTTCTATTAGGTCAAATAATAAGTGTGGTAGTTTCTTAGTTTGAGTTACCTTAGTTTTTAGATTTCTTTTGAGAGGCAACCAGGTGGATTCAGCCACTAATAATCTCAAAGCTCTCACATTTTCGGCGATTAGTCTCGCTTTTTTTGGGGTTGACTACTTACTTTGTGTATGATAAAGAAGTGAGGGGAGCCGGGGACTTGTGGTTATGGAGGGAGGGTAGAGTCAGGTGGTTACATTTATTGTTTGCAATAAATGTTCCACGCCATCCCCTGTGTGGAGAAGATGGACGGCTCTGAATCATTCGCGGAAGGAATCTATATCTAGGGAACTCTTCCGGTAAGGTATACCTTACCGGAGCCTCCGTGCGGCCTCCGCGTTTTGAGGGCCTTCCCGGTGGAATTTTTCTATGAAATTTTTTTAGCATGTTCTTCATCAAGTCTAGTACATCCATACCAAATTTCAGCAAAAAATTCAATCGGGAAGGCAGTCAAATGATTTTTGGAAGATAACTGCACCCTTTATATACATATAAAACGCAGTTATCTTCCAAAAATCGTTTGACTGCCTTTCGGATTGAATTTTTTGCTGAAATTTGGTATGGATGTACTAGACTTGATGACGAACATGCTCAAAAAATTTCATCGAAAAATTCCACCGGGAAGGCCCTCAAAACGTGGAGGCCGCACGGCGGCTCCGGTAAGGTATACCTTACCGGAAAGATTTCCTCTATATCTATATCTATATCTATATCTATATCTTCTATATATAATACATTTCAAGGTTACATTTGGGGAAAGTTTTGTCATGTGTCATGCTCTAAGGGAACTCATTAAAATACTCTCTTAACAATTAGGGAAAGTCACGTACAAAGCATTAAACTCACGTACAACCTTTAGAATTCCTTAAAGGAAACAAAAACATTGTCCTGGAATGAAACAAACTCTTCGTAATTAGATTCAAAGGAATCCTAGAATGAAACAAATACTTTATCCTAGAATGAAACAAATTTAATCTATATATAAACCAATCACGTCATATTTTTGGCCAAGTTTTATTGGACAAAGGGAGTGTACAAATATAATAACTAAAATCATTGTCTAAAATTTGAAATCATTTACCAAGAAAATTCAATATGATGAACCTTTTTTAGACGGAGGTAGTATTATAAATTAACTTTACATACATACATGTATTCCAAATGTAGAACATGTATAGTAATTTTTAAAATCTTATTTTTAATACTTCTTTCCAATAATTTTAAAAGTACAATTAAGAATTATGGAAAATTTGTCGTGTTCGATTAGAATTTCACAAAATTCTATACTTTATTTATGTAAACTTTCTCAATATCCAAATGGGCTAATAGATTAGGGTTATGTTTGGCACTTTGAAATGTAGGTGGAAACAAATTTTTGAATTAAGGATTATTGTCTGAAATATAGACTATTTTCTAGAAATGAATTTTGAAACGCTGCATCCAAACTGTTAGTTACGTTAGATGAAGTAAATCTGTTTGGCAAAAAGAGTTAAAAAATTCTCGGATAATATGACTTGATCAGATCAAATCATATAGATTGGACCAGATCCGATTAGAATAGACAAACCAGATAAAAAAAATCAGTCCAATTAAAAACGTTTTTAATGGAGCCCCTTCCTAAAATTTAGAACTTCTTATAGATTAGATTTCAAACAATCTCTTGAAGTAATCATGAGTAAAATGTGGAGTTAATTAGCTTTCTATGCAATTATATAATCACTATACATAGTATACAAGCATAAGTGAGATAGACATACAAAATTAAATTAGCTTATAATGAGTTTTTTCTGAAGGAAAGCTTATAATGGAGTTAATCATTCATACTTTAAAAGTATTCATGAGTAAATTTTTATTTGGTACCAAAAATTTAGATGATGGCACAACCCCTTTAAATAAGGGTGTGAAGATTCTATTCTTATTTTCGTATGAGAATGTGGAAATGAAATGAAAATTTTGAAACTGAAGTGAAAGAAAAAAAACTCAATAAGATAGAAGGTCGCTGTAAGTAGAGTGAAAGAAAAGAATTAGTTCTCTGTAATAATGTAGAAGGGGAAATGGTAGGATGACATAATTGTAAGGCTAGAAAAAATAACCCTTTAAATATTATTTAATTCAATATAATACAGAGTAACTACAAGTATTAAACAGAAATGAAAGTGGAATACAAGTGAATACAAATCTATTAAGCACCCCCCAAATCATTTCAATAAAATATTGTTTTAAGAAAATTCTAATAACTTCCAAATCATTCCTAAAATGGGAAAAAGAGTGAGACATCATTAAATTAAAGTGAAAAAAATAAAATAGCAAGACTATATACTCCCTCCATCCCTTAAAACTTTGTCATCTTTCCTTTTTTGGACATCCCAAAAAAATTTGTCACTTTTCCTTTTGATCAATATTTTGTGGTTCCTGTTATTTCTCTTTACTCTACACAAACCTCAATCACACAATATTTACTTTATTATTTTCCGTGCTGGTCAAACTTGACAAAGTTTTAAGGGCCGGAGGTAGTATGTATTAAAATTTGGCAAATACAAATTTGTCTTTATGCTATCTCAAATTTAAGTTCACCTTTCTCAATAAGGATATTTTCAATTACAATCGATTTTTTTCTCATTTATGAAAGTAAAAGTTATTTTTACTTTAGTGTATATATTAATACAATCTTGATATATTTTGGCGGAGAGTTTCAACTCTCGGAAAGCTTTATTAATTTCATATTTCATATATAACAATTATATCGTGACACTAAAAGTGGTGTTTAAGAGTTAGATAAATAAGCTAGACCATGCATTTTTTTTTACTCGAGGGGGGTCTGGGTGAGGGGGAGTTGGGGGGCCTGGAGTAATCTGGGCTGAAACTCAGCCCATTGAGTTCCGAACCCTTATGTGCCTAGCGGGTTTCGAACTCAAGACCTCCCACTAGACACGGTAACCTCACAACTAGCTGGGCTAGAATGCTTGGTTAAGCTAGACCGTGTATAATAAGTATAGAGTAATTTTTTACTGATGGATGTAACTTTAGTATGGGAGGCGTTTGTCTTTTTATTTTTCATTGCATAGTTTGACATTTTAAGTTTGGATAATAGCTAACTCTTGATGCGATGAGAATCTTTTTGTAGGTTTTATTCATCTAGCCTTCTAGGTAAAAATTGTCCATTAAAATTCTCAAGCATGCAACTTTTTCTTCGTTCAATAACACTTATCTTACTTAATAAAATCATACATAACTTCAATAACTCAATCTTAATGCAAAATAAATTGATCGCTGCCAATCACAATATGCAACCTATTGTCGCCGTCATCGCCTTCATTAAAATTAGAATGTCAGAAAACTATATATTCGAAACTATTTTCTTAAAGAAACAGATCAAAAGACTAATTTAAAAATTTCTAAAACCTGGAAGAGCTAATACTTAAAAAAATTGACTACACCCTTTTTTAGATAAATAACGTACAAAAGTGTGTAGTTAGTTTTGGAGAGAAAAAACAGTCAGCCACAGATGAAATTTAATGGATAAATATAGGAACTGAGCATTTTCTTTTTGTTTATGTAACAATAGATTAATTTTAATGGGATGCAACTGATAAATATTAAAAATATGTTCTTTTTGTTGGAAATTATAGACTCGAAACATGTTTACATAATTAGTTAAAAAATAAGACATATTTAATAAATTAGAATACACAATTAAACAATGTAATAATTGACTAAATAAGTGAATAATTTACCCGTGCACAGCACGAGTAAAGATACTTGTATGTCAGAGTGCATTACTCTAAAGCGCACGTGTACACAAGCTAGTGTGAAAAATTGAAGGGGAACTATTATATGCAATGCAATGCACTCCTTTTTTGTTGGTTTTCGTTTTTATCCCAATGAGCTAATCCGTATTTAACAACTTAGAGCCCGTTTGATAGCACCAAAATCGGCTGTTTTGGCTGATTCTGCTGAAATTTATGATATTCTGGCTGGAGTGGCTGTTTTGACTGATTCTGCTGATTTAAGAAAAAAATATTTTAAAAATATATTTTATTAATAAATTAAAGAAAAAATTATATGTAAAAATAGCTAAAATGGTCCTCTACAGTAACTTCAGCCAATACAGCCAGAAAAGTAACTCCAACCTTACTTTTTCGGCTTATTACATAATTCAGCGCGCGAAAGTAAAAGTTACGTGTTTGGTGAAAAAGCTGGCTGATAAGCCTGATAAGCCGAAAACAGAGTTCTCCAAACGGGCTCTTAATCTTGTGCTTATTTCTATTCGTTTAAAAGCATTTTCTAGTTTTTTTCCTCCTCCTCCTCTAATACGTAATACCAGCTTGGAACGGTGGATAGGAGTAGTGCAGTGCAATTCACGCCTCAGGATTAAATTTATTCCGACCACCTGCGCTTCCATTCGAACCCTAACACCGGCGTAATGGCGGCGGCAGCCATTAGTTTCGGTTTAGTTGGAGCTTTCAAAGGCTTGTCCTTAGCATCTTCCTCTTTCTTCCCAGGCGACTTTGCCTCGCCTCGCACCGGCCGTAGGACTTCCGTCGCTTTTCCTTTGAAATCTAAGGTTCCGCTGACGATTTGGTCGGCGCACAAGAAGGGCGCCGGAAGTACGAAGAACGGTAGAGACTCGCCGGGACAGCGGCTGGGTGTCAAAATTTTCGGTGATCAAGCAGCAAAGCCCGGGGCTATAATCGTTCGCCAGAGAGGAACCAAGGTTTTGACCTCTCTTCCCCATACTTGATTCCAGTCAATCACTTTTTTCATTGATTTATGAGTCATTTCATTCCTCACATCAATTAAGCGTACGATACAGTTCTTCACTCTGTATACAACTTTTGTTTGATATGGAAATTGAATCTGGCGAATGCATATTTATTCCTTTTTTTTATTAGGTTATTTGCATATTGAATTAGGTTATGCCTGAAGAAAATGGTCTGGGTAGTGGACACTCTATATACGCTGTTTCAGCCTCAATATTTCAGTAATGGGCTATGAATACTTTGTTTAACTTCTGACCTAAATTACTCTTCTTTCCTCCAGGTTATCTCGAATTCATGTTTGAGCTCAGATTCCAAACCCAATTTATTTATAGACAGAAGTCTGTCTAAAGGATTTTCATGTCTAAATTTTCTGATAGTTAGGATGATTCTCCTTTTCACCTTCATGCTAAGTAAGTTGGGATCGGTGTTATGGGGTTTTCAGTGTCAAAGCATATATGGCACTTGTAATACATATGTATTTGCACCATATTGGAAAAGCTCACCAAGTCATTATTGAAAATGGATATGATATTACATGTTTTGGTAGTCTAATTCATGAGTTGTCATGTATATTGTCTTAGAGCCTGTTTGGATTGTCATATGTCGTAAGTGCTTTTGTAAGTACTTAAGTAGTGTTTTCTCAAGCACTTAAAGTGTTGTTTTCCTGAAAAACGCTTCAATCCATTGCTTTTTTAGCATGCATAAAAGTATTGTAACTTTTTTTAAGAATTAAAGACACTTTTTTCAATTCTTTTTAGATCATTCTAATTTAAAGTGAAAGTGCATATATTGATATTAAAAACACTTGTGCTTTAAAAACGTGTCATCTCAGATGTGTTCTACATATATCACGTTGTTCTCATGCTGATTACAGCATGATGTGGTGATATCTAACACTATTTATCTTAGATTCTAGTCAAGTGATGCAAATGGAGCTGGAAATTGCGATAATTTCATTTTTCCTAACATCTTTTGTAATCTGATCTGGTAGTTCCTAATATAAAAGTTTCATTCGGTAAAACATTTGCCAATACATCTGCTTAGGTCAAAGAACTTGTGTGGGAAAGTCCTAACCTTTTCTTTGTATGATTAGTTCCATGCCGGGAAGAATGTCGGAATAGGCAAGGATCACACAATCTTTTCCTTGATCGATGGACTAGTCAAATTCGAGAAGTTTGGACCGGATAGGAAAAAGGTTTGACTCTTGCTCTCAGCTTGTCATTAGACGTGGCACCGCAGGTGTCGCCAAGTCTCCCAAAAATTTGAATTTGTAGTGGAAAAGTAATTTTGGAGTTATTCATATGAATTCCTATATTTCTCTTGTTATTTTGCATTCTAATTGGGTGTTCTAGAGTTGAATGTTAAAAGAAATAAATTATTTAGTGCAAAGTGATGTGGCTGACAAATACCAAATATCTGTAAAGAAGACCAGACAGAGAGGAGTGGGGTGCCCGCTATTCAGATTGGGAATACACTAGTGTATCCACTTTTTTTGTTAAACTAATTACTTATAGTGTGTCTATACAGATTAGTGTGTACCCACGAATAACACAGCCAGAGAACCCAAACAGCTACAGGGCACGAAAAAGGGAGGCCTTCAGATCACAGCGGGAGCGTAGAAAGGCGCGAAGGGAAGGAAATATGGACATACCACCACAGTTGACAATGGTTCCTGCTTCATCTGCAATTAAGCCCTTGGTAACATGCTGCTAATATGGCTAGGGCTTTTTTCCCACTTTTACCTCACCTTCTTGCTTTTGTATCATTTTATTAGGGAGTATTATTGTTATTTCAAGGAGTCAAGATTGTGTAGTCTTGATTCTGTTTGTGTAAATGATACAAGATCAATGCATGAGACCCAAGTTTCGTACTGTCTGTTGTACCCGAGCACCATTGATAAATTATATGAAGTGATAAATTATCAAGTACAGCTCTGCCGCCATTTTGCAAATATTTTAACAAACTTAGGATGTTTTTACTTGGACTGTAATTTGCCCCAGACCAGTCCAGACCAGACCAGTTCAGACCAGACCAGACCAGTTCAGACCAGACCAGACCAGACTTGGATAGTTATAAAAATACAAAGAAACCAGACCAGACCAGTCCAGACCAGACCAGACCAGCAAATTACAGTCCAAGTAAAAACATCCTTAGTTAATTAGGGGTGGCTACGAACAACCGTATGAGCAAACAATTGGTTGTTCCGGCGAACTGAAACAAATTATGAATTTGTTATGCGTCAAGGCGGGTTTGGTCCCGGTCTAGGACCGGCCAGTCCCCGGGAAAAAAATATTGGAGCCTCGGACCGGCCCGCTATATCCTGGTTCTGAACTTGTTTAGTTCATCGGGAGGGAAAAAAATATTGGAGCCTCGGACCGGCCCAGTATATCCCGGTTCTGAACTTGTTTAGTTCATCGGGAGGTCTTAGTTCCAGTCTGGTGTAGGGGTGGACGCGGTCCAGTTAGGTTCAGAACCGGGTCCGACACTGTTTGGGCTCAGACCGGGTTCGTTTTTTCCGGTTTTAGGCCTAGGACCAGCCTTGTCCGCCCAATAGTATCACTCGGTTCTGATTCACAATATTGGAGACCAAACCGGCCGGTTTCGATCCCGGCTGCCGGGTCCGGGACCAAGATTGAACCGATTGGCTGCTTAGAATCGGCCAAGATCCAGAAAGTAGCGGGTCAGTCCCGAAGTGCATTAAAAATTGTCTATGGTAGAATATTTATTCAATTAATTAATATTCTAATATTGGTCATGGCATTGGTGTTATATATTATTATTAGAGTTCATATAATCCTAGACCTTTAATTGTTTTAATGATAGGTTGAACCTATATTTTAGTCTCTCTAGGACTAGAGTTCCCAATCATGTCCTTCGTCTCAATATATATGCTTTAATGCTTATTCCCAATCCTATCCTTCGTCTCAATATATATGCTTATTCCCTTTGTATCAGAGCTCTGTTGTTAAACATCACTAGTAACATCACCCGTGCGATGCACGGTCGAGAAGTTTCTTGAAAATTCATTAGCAGACAATATTTCGACCTCGGGGAACAATATATATTTGCGTTGTCCTTCTCTTGATATGTAAAGTGCAATGTTCTTGGCATTTGTAAGTTTGATACCCAATAATTTAAAAATTAGGATTTAGAGCAGGTAAAATATAGGAATTCAGCCGAAGATAGGCCAGCTATGTTTTTTGAGCTCACTAATTTTGTCCACCTTACCATTATCATATTTCCGCCTCTAATTCAGTCCTTAAAACATACGAAGTATTCAGTATTATAATGGTCAAAACAAAGTAAAATGCATTTACCACAAATCTACCTTAAATAACAACAATGCGCGGGATGGTTTACCGTTTCAAATTCCAAGCTTAGGATGTAATCTTGTTTTCGATGATCACAAACACAACACACTTACAACATCATATGGTAGGGCCAATTCTCTAAGTTTATAAGATCCATTATATTTTCTTGAGGTATTTTACTTTATAAAAACCATATATGAGCCATTCTTCAAGTCAGGGTCCATCATACATCAAAGAGCCATATAACAAATACAATACGTTTTCTGTAAAGTAGAAATTGAAGTTAGAATAGATTTCATATGTAAATTGAGCAAGTTACCTCAAGTCATCTTTCTAGAAATATATGTTGGATATTGGAATCAGTAAACGTTTGAATAACCACCCTTGCCAGGGACTCGGTTGGTGGCATCATTTAACAATGTAATTGATGACAACATTTTGCCTAAACTCTTAGATTGTAATGTCCTCCATAGAACCCATAACATCATTGCAAACAATTTTTTTTTTATAATCTTAGGTTACCTGGGTTACATAGATTTTAGGTTGAAATGTGCTATAACCGAATCCAAAATTCAAAATCCAAAAAGGGCAGAAGAATAGAAGATACCAACTCTAGACACTATCATATAGAGTTAGCCATGCCTTGTAATTAATACCCATCCATGCAACCCATCAACACAAATACCATAAGGACTACATTCTTAAACATATACATCAAAACCCAGAAATATTTTCAAGGTTTTGGCTCTTCGATCTTGATACCCTTCATTTTCTTCGCTGGCATTGTACCGAAAAATTCAGCAAACAGATATATTCAGCTTCTCCCCATCAACTTCAATAGCAATTCTCTTGCCTTTGCTCAGCAAAGGGCTAATCGAATTAATTAGCTGCGAAGAGCCAACCTGGAAAAATGAAAACAAGTGTCAATCCATAGACCCACGATGTGTATGGGTTAAATCTAAAAATTAAACCCAAAAAAAAATGCCTAAACCTGTACGCTGCCACCAAACTCCCTCTTTAGTAAATTAAACTCATCTTCCTCCTGTAGCATACATTTCAAAACTGTCAAACATTATATTCCCAGTCCGTGTTAAATAATCTGGCAAGGGCAAATTAAAAACAAACCTTTGTGTTAGATTCAGAAACGTAGAGGGATAGGACCTCCGGGTCTGTGTTCATTCTCAGAACACTATAGGTTTGATTTTCCTTGTAGTTCTTGTTCTCCTTCCTATATTGCTCTCCTTCACCGCAAAGATCCGGCCTTCCCTAAACATGTTAAAAAATTTGGTTGTGAAAAACTTCCTACCGGAGTGGTGCTTTTATAGTAGAAAATTGATGTAGTACTTGCTAAGAATAGCATGACCCAACCAACTCACTGTATGACCGCCCTTATCCACCAATACGACGCAAGCAGAGCAACATGTAATCACGTTTTTTGTGAGCAGTAGCCGCCACCCTTTTGCCCAATAGGAGACCTGAATTATTTTTTTTACTATTCACACATCCATCTTTGGCCAATGGGATTGACTTCTCCAATAAATATCTAGTGGCGGATGTACCCATACATTTAAAATACTTGTTTTTATTATTCTCTTGACGAATTAGAAAATAAATAACTGAAGTTGACAGTTCCAGGCGGGAAAACTGTGCCTCATACTTCTTTTCCTTTTATATAAGAAGAGATATAATTATACTACTCCGTATGTGTAATTGTCTTTCCATTCACGTACGAACCTGGAAGTGATGTTTGATTACAGAATACTACCTCCGTCCCAAAAAGAGTTGCAAATTTGACTTTTCTTAGTCAAACAGTCTCGTTTTTTTCAATTAATTAGGTTGCTAGTTTTTAATTATTTTCTAATTTGGAGTTGACAACTTTGAAGAGATTTTAATGTAGTTTTTGAATAGGTAAATTTTAATTATTAAAAATTGAATTAATTATCCATAAAGAGGGTTGACTTTTATTATTGGTTGACAAAAAAATGTTGACTTTACAAAACAAATTGGGACGGAGGGAGTATTATTTTTGTCTACTGCTCCGTTTTTTATTTCTTCCCAAGAACAAAAGTTCATGTGTAACCTATGTAGGGAGCATAAAATTAAGGATCCATCTTGGATTGCTACCACCTGTTAATCATGCCTTTGTGGTAGCTTAGAGCAACTAATGTTATTATTTGAGTGGATCAATTTGATTTTGAGTTGCGCGCCTTGCGCCGGATGTACTAGTACTCATATTCATAGACATGTAATTTCCTCCCGTCAATTTGTCGTTTGTTTTAGGGATTGGTCAATTGTTTTTTTGAAGTTTGGTCTGCCTCGACTCCCAAGTCCTCAGTGAAAGATACTACGTAGTAATTCTTCTTTGGAAGAGGATGGTTTACCTTAAATATCACAACATTAGCATTCAGAAAGGGGTTAAAACGATATAAGAACCACAGACAATCGTCAGTCCTCGAATCAGACTTAGAGTCAATCACCTTCAGAGAAGCAAAATGACTCATTGATCCTATAATGGGCTTACATGAGCCAAAGACGGTTAAAGCAGACCTACTATCATCCAATCCTAATGCAAGAGTCTTACAATAATAAAAGCAATCAACAGAAAAATAAACAGTCTAATCAGGAAAAATAAATCGCAAGCAAACACTTAAATTAAAAGATGCTTCCAAATCCTAAACTCTCCTACACTCCATTTGACGGATTTAAAAAATTAAATAAAATTTAGTCACGGATTTATCCGTGACTAACGTACCGGAATAGCAACTCCGGTCACGAATTAGTCACGGATCTTGGCCGTGACTAATCCGTGACTAACTTTAGTCACGGACAAAATTGCGTGGCTAATTTTAGTCACGCCCATTTAGTCACGGATTTTGTCCGTGACTAAATCCGTGACTAAAGAAGTTAGTCACGGATTTTTAACACTACGGTCCGTGACTAAGTCCGTGACTACGTCCCTATTTTTTTGTAGTGTTGTGAAAAACCACAATTGATTAAAACACATATTTGTTAAAGGTTGTAATAATTTGCAAATGTAACTCATATACTCTAGAGTGCTATTATCTCAAGCAGAATGAGGTACATATCATTCTATTATTTTATGGATTTATTCCTTTGAATCCATTGGTTTATGTACAAAACTCATAGATATGCATTTAATGAATCCAGATGCATAAACATCTCAAATATAATTTGAGATGAAACAATAGAAATATCAAATAAATTTTAAATCTGAAATGAATACACATAGTTTATACCAAACTTTAAGACTCAAAATAAAAGTCTAATTAGAAGTAGTAATGTCCATGTTTATAAAAAATGGCTAAATCCAACAATTACAGAAGATTCTTATTCTCAACATAGCAGACAATTATAACTTTGAATTTTAATTTAGTCTCTCATGTAGTGAATCTCTTGTTCTTCAGGGGCTCTATGAGGATCAATACCAAAAGTGTTTTTTTTTAATTTAGTTTCTCGTGTAGTGAATCTCGTGCTGATGACTTGTTGTAGGATCAATACGTACTAAAAGTAGGCCTGAGACTTAGAACCGTAAAACCGAACCGAACCGAATTTTCCGGTTCAGTTCGGTTCCTATCATTTTGGACTTCAGCTTTTTTCGGTTCTGTTCCTATAGTATAGGATCGGTTCGGTTCCGGTTCGGTTCCAGTTCGGTTCCGGTTCCTAGTCAGGAACCGAAGTTCTTATACATTGCATGCGTAATCTTCATTTGAGGTGCTTCTGTGCGGAATTTTTGATGAAATTTTGTGAGCTTATTTTTCATGAAGTATAGATTATGTCCACCAAACGTGAGCTTAAAACTCAATCGGGAAGTTAGTTAAATAAATTATTGAAAACTACTACGTCAAAATATATGTAAAAACCCAATGTTTTTCAATATTTCATTTAACTCACTTCCCGGTTGAATTTAAAGCTTAAATTTGGTGGATATAATCTATACTTCAAGAAAAACATGCTCACAAAATGTCATCAAAAAATTCTACTTGGAAGCACCTCAGATTGAGGTTGCCAGACGGCGATTCGGGTAGAAAATTCTTATCAGAATTATTTGTCTTGCATAATATACCTTATATATCATGGACCAGGTCAATCTAGGGGTGAGATTTTGGAACCGGGAGCTGTAGAACCGGTTGGAACCGAACCGTTATAACCCGGTTCGGTTCCTACAAATGAGATATTAGTTGTTAAAGGTTCGGTTCCTAGATGTTGTTAACGGTTCGGTTCCTGGTTCCTATAAAAAAGGTGCATGAAACCGTTAAGAAACCGTTATTAAAAAAATAATCGGTAAAAAGTAAAATAGTATTAGTAGTAGTAATAATAATATAATAACAATCATAACTACCACAACAATAATAATACAATACATATTTAAGTAACAATTCTAATTTCTCTTCAAAAAAATTTAACAATTCTAATTTAATCAAGTGTTGTTCCATCACATAAGTATAAAATAACACAAATAACTTATAGTCGATTGCACATATTTTACTTTACTATTTTCATGATATTTCTAATTATTAGATTTATTATAAATCATGGTACTATCAAGTAGAATGTAATAGTGTTTTTATATCTGTACATGTGAACTCAGTGTATTTTGTATGTTTTGAAAGATTTGAAGTAGACGTCCTTTTCTTGCTACTATGATGATGACTTTTATGTTTTATTTATTGCATGAAAAATTAAATCATTGTTTGTTCTATTAAGTGTTCACAGTTCACTAGTTAAGTTTGAGTTTTTATGTTTGAAGTGATTAGAGCTTCAAATAAAATTTTAATACTCTTGTTTTGAATTTTCGACGTGTTTATTGACTTAATTCTTAGATGAGGAAAATTTATTCTAGGAACTGGCAAAAGGAAGGAACCGAACCGTTTAGTAATGGTTCGGTTCCATAACGGTTCTTGATTTTTTATATAAGAACCGAACCGATTTTATTAGTTAAAATTTTTATAACGGTTCCACTCATTTTGAGTAAGAACCGAACCGGTCCCAGCCCTAACTAAAAGTGTTTCTTTTGATATGAATAGAGACATGTTTTGATGATAAAAAAACTTGTTGTAGGGAGAATATAGTTCTCATTACAAGAAGTTCTCATTTTAGGAGGGGTTCTCACTAAACCCTCCCCTACACACAAACACACACACACATATGGAAGTTCAAATAAAAAGTGGTCTTCCCGTGCAAAGTGCGAATTTTACACTTTTTCATGTTTCGCTTGCACGTTTTCTTGTTTTCGTTGCACTTTTCGAGGTAGCGAAAAATTGGGTTATTTACAAAATTGCCACCGTCATTTTGGGGAAATTTGGCCAAAATCGCAATAGTGAAAAAGTGCATTGGAAACCAGTAAAAGTGTAAGCGAAACGTGCAAAAGTGCAAATTTTGCACTTTGCACGGGAAAATCACTTTTTATTTGAACTCTTATATATATATATATATATATATATATATATATATACGTGTATATATATATATACACACGTATATATATATATATATGTATATATATATATGTATATGTATATATATATACACGTATATATGTATATATATACACACGTATATATATATATGTACACGTATATATATATATATACACACGTATATATGTATATATATACACGTATATATATATATATATGTATATATATACGTGTATATATGTATATATATGTATATATAGGAGTAAGTTCTCATACAAAGAGGTCTTCTCATGAAAAGTGAGAAGTGATTGAAGCCCTTGAAAACTTAAAGTGGACATAATAGATCAAAACTCATGTGACAAAATGCTAAACCTAAATGTGCAATACACAATAGTATAAGTGTACATTAACCCCGTTTAAAAATATCACAATATGATTTCTATAAGTGTTGTATTATTTCGAAAAGTGATGCACTTTTGTGTTAGTCAACTACACTTTTTCGTTAGCATTGCACATTTATGACTTTATTTTTTGAAAAAATTCATAACATGTACACATTTGCCACCGCGTTTTGTACTTTAAAATTAATCTGAGCCACTTATTTTTCATGGCTAAGATTATTTCTCATTTTTCATGTATATTAACTTTTATTACGGAGTATAAGTATTTACTACTGGGAATACCTTCATTGTACTCTTATGGATATGTGTGGTAAAGTATCATTCGTGTTGACTACATTTACTCGCTATTGAGTAAGGTATGTGTCTAACCCAACAAGAGGGAGACTAGTCACATGTAGGATAAAAGAAATTATCTCTTAGCATATATGTAGAATACTGGTAGTTGGAAAAGTTTTTTTTTTAAACTTCAAAATTCATAACACACATACACATTTACCAGCTCAATCTGTACGTAATTTAAGATGTGTTTGATAACGCTATTGTCACAATTTATAATAAAAAGCTACTGTAGGAAAAATATAATCAACTAATAGAATCACATATTTTTAAAAACATAGACACATCATTCATACAATAGCTGGTGGATTAAACATATAATTGATTCAATTAGTTACAAAAAAAAGTAGGGCAATTTTGTACACTACTTACAAAATCTTATAACAATCTCACATATAATAAGGAATAATAGATTAATACTTCTTATGTTCCTTAAAACTTTGCCAACTTTCCCTTTTTAGATGTCCCACTAAGAGCATCTTCAACGGTTAGCTAATTGAAATATACTTCAATTGTTAACTATAACTTTTTACTCTGCATTTATTATTTATAATGCTATATTTAATAGATCTCCTTGCTCAAACTAGTAGCTCACTTACAGGCTCGGCCCTAAGGGAGTGCAAGTGGTGTAGTGGAACAAGGCCTCCACTAATGGAGGGCCCCCAAATGTTCCCAATTTTAATTCATAGAGTACCACGTATGTTAGTAGTTAATGCTATTAGTTGGAGCAAAAAACGACTGGAATAGGAGTATTTAATCTTTGAGCTTGGCGACAATGCCTCTTACAATGCGGAAGAATGAACGATGCTGCTCATCTTTTAATCGTGACTCCTCGTAAAACATACAATTTACAAAATTACAAAATTTTGATTGGCAACCAAGTGACTCGACCAATTTATGCTATATTAATTTCTTTATCAAATCCGTTCTACTAGATCTGTTTCTCCAAACAATTTTTATCAAATAATTTCCTAACAATTCTGCTGAAATCTGAATCTGAAGTGGAGCAGAAGGATAAGTTCGGCCTTTCAAAGTTTAGCTTTGCACAGTTTCATGGGCATATGTTCGGTATACTCTATTTTCACGTCTTTAATCTTCTCCAGTAGCCCTACTCTTTTTAATAAGCACGGCAAATATGTTTTTGGGAGGTATGATGTTTCATTTGTTAGGAAAATAAAATAATATAAGTTTATCACAAATTATTCTCACACCTTTCTTAATGCTTGTTTTAATTTTACTCTGTACATTTTATGATTTAGGGCCTCCAATTACATTTTGAACAGGGCCCTTAATATGTACGGGCCAGCCCTGCTCACTTAGGCTAATTAGCTTTCTCAAGCAAAAAGGAGAGTAATGCTAGTAGCTTCAAAATTGCAAGCAAGTCCCTAGAAGCAACCATTGGAGATGCTCTAACTTTGTCACTTTCTCTTTTAAGTAAAGAGAAAGTGAAGGGTTGTTTTGGAGCATGGTGAAGCCGCAGTTCTGTTTGCTCCGGCAGGATTGTGGACGTGTTGGGATGGCTGTGTGAGGCAAGTCTGTTCGGCGAAGCAACGGGCGGAAGGTCGGCTTCTGGCAGGCATGTATGATCGGCGAGCAAGGTAATCGGAGCTTCCTTACTCAGGTTTTTGTAAACGCAGGTATGACAGAGAGTTTGATCAACAAGAAGCAGGATGAGGGAGAAAATGCAGTATTGTTGGTTCGACCTCCTCCTGAACTGCCGCCATAGAGTGCAGAAAAGGCTAGGGTTGCAGGCTCTGGAGGGTGTTTGGCATATTCTTGCCGGATGACGAAACATGACTTTTATTTTTTAGCATTTATTTATTTTGATTGTCTGGTTTTTGTTGTTTACTTTCGAATTTTTATTTTATTCAACTGTAAGACTGTAGATTTGGATGTGGGTGATGAAAGGAATGTGGTAACCGTCTATGGCTTAGTTGTGCCCGTTAAGAGTCCAGCAGATTATATTGCTTTTGTTGAGGTGATTAACTCTGAGTCTGGCTCGAGGTACGGTGTTTGTCAAGATTCTTTTTGTCAGATTACCTACTAATGCTGTATTATCAACTTAACCTAATTTCTTCTATAAAAAGAAGCCTTTAAACAATGACTGTCCAAAAAAAGCCTTTAAACAATGAGAAATTCTTCTTATTGACTTCAAAAGTATAAAAGCCAAACAAGGCCTCAAGGGTTTATATCAGAGTCACGAGGTTGGTAGCTTAAAGTTGCCGCAAACGCCGATCCATAAGAAGTGAAGTGGGAGAAACAAAGCGAAGGTTTCGACAAACAGGAGGAGATCGAAATAGCGGAAATGGATCCAGACGCTCTGTGCCAGGCTTTCGTCACACACTACTACAACACCTTCGATTCCAATCGGCCCGGTCTGGCTGGTCTCTACCAGGATAACTCCATGTTGACATTCGAGGGCCAGAAGATTCTGGGCGTCGAGAACATCAAACAAAAGCTCATGAACCTCCCTTTTGCGCAGTGCTTGCACCATATCACCACCGTTGACTTCCAGCCCTCTGGAGCTCCCGGCGGCTTTCTCGTATTTGTCAGCGGCAACCTTCAACTTGGCGGTGAACAGCACCCGCTCAAGTTTAGCCAGGTACCCAATCTATTTCCGAATTTTTCACTGAGATTACGCTGTTCTTGATTTCTTGAGTGTGTTATGTCGTGATTTTATAGCTGAAGTTCCATTCTTTTATTCATTTAGAGAGGAAATAATTTCGAGTGGGATCCCAGATCTATTATTCAACCAGTGATGGCGAAGCTGTTTAGGATGTGTGCTCGTATTTTTATGTGACAGTTTACTTTCAATGGAAGGATCTCGATTTATCCTAAATAATATATACTCATCTATTTGCCTATCCTTTAAAAACACAAATAAAATCAGAGTTTCTTATTTTACAGCAAGAGCAGGCTATCCAAAAATTAGAGATTTAGAGTCCTAATGTTGTATTCAATGTCCTGCTGCATTACTCTACTAGGCTCTACGACTCTATCACTCTATCAGGTCATAGGTTTTTTTAATACTTGAATGTCTTGGAAGCAACATGCATTCCTTGCAAGCAGGGGCATAGCTGGGCGGGGGCCGGTCTTGAACTAAAAATACTCAAATACTACCTCCGTCCCAAAAAGAGTTGCAAATTTGACTTTTCTTAGTCAAACATTCTCGTTTTGTTCACTTAATTAGGATGTCAATTTTTAATTATATTCTAATTTGGAGTTTACAACTTTGAAGAGATTTTAATGTTGTTTTTGAATATGTAAATTTTAATTATTAAAAATTGAATTGAGTATCCATAGAGAGGGTTGACTTTTATTATTGGTTGACCGAAAAATGTTGACTTTGCAAAACAAATTGGGACGCAAGGTTCGAAATTGCGAATTGCGTAGTCGTGGCGTTTTTTTAATATTGCATATTGCGTAAGCCTCATTGCGCAATATTGCGTGTATATATATATATATGTGTGTGTGTGTGTGTATATATATATATATATAATAAACATATTCATCAAAAGTCATCAAATGTTATATTAAAACAAACCATAAGAGGCCAATCAAAGTAACATGTTCAAACTTCAAAGTACCATAGAATACCAAAACATTCTGAACCATTTATCAAAACAAAAATCTAAGATATGAAAATTTAAATTAATTAGATTGATTGACTGAAAAATTCAACCAATAACTACTGGTTTGAAATAGGGATTGTAAGATCAATTATAAAAATTTAAAAGTGGGCCGAGTGGGCCCAAATAATACCCTTACACCTTGACCTCCTATTGCGTACGCCTCAGAGCGCCTTATTGCGTATCCAATATTGCGTACGCCTCAGTGCAATATTGTGTACATCACACTCCCAGCGCCATATGCAATGCCTTTTACGCCATAGTCCAGGAATTAGCTGAGGCGCGCCATGAGGCGCAATTGCATTGCGCAATTACAAACAATGTTGGGACGGAGGAAGTATAAAACTAGTAATCAAAATCAGTCCAAGTGAATTAAAAATTTCTTACTATTAAAAACAGTGCATTAAACTAAAATTCCTTTTGACTTTCTGGGAAGGAGGTTGTGGATTATTAGTCATATACTAGGTAGTTTACTCGCTACTCGGTAGTAACTCGGTCAAGGGCCGAGTAGTGAGTAGGACCGATTACTCGGGATTACTCGGTGATTACTCGGTCGTGTATTAATTAAATTTGATAATATATTTGCTAGATATTTAGAAATATAATAGTCTTAAAATAGTCTTAAAATTGTTTTAAAAAGCATAGAAATGAATAAAAAGATACAAATCCTATTATCCTAATGATGGAGTAGCAAAAGTCATAAATATTCTAAGTTTTCAAAATTTAAATTTTATAAGTGATCAAAATTTAATGTCTATTGTTGAAATTGAATTTATAGGGAGTACGAGGGCATTAGTCTAACATAAAGCAGGATGTCTACTAGACTACTTATATTATTCAGAAGTATTTATCACTATAGTCCAAGAAGTCATCATTGAATACTATAAAGCAGGATGTCTACTAGACTACTATCCAAGAATGAAAGCTTACTGAATACAAGAACCAAAACTAACCAAGAAGGCAAGAACATAGACGACTAAGGGAGGGGGGAAGAAGAAGAACCCAGAGGTGAAGAGGTGAAGATACGAGAGAAACAAGAGTTACCAGCCGACGTCGCAGTCTCAACTTAAAGGGATAGCGGATGTCGCGCAACTCCAAGAGAGCCGATGTTGCTGTTAGAGACTTGGAACTCCGTTAAATTTAGGTTTTAATTTAGGATTTCTAACCGTGCTACCGAAGGTAGGGATAATCGTCCAGGTCTCAATGCGAAAGGATAACCGTGCCCTTACAGCATGCTGGCCGATTATAAGTCCATAGGCCTTCGTAGTCCCTTCATTGGAGTGAAGGCCGAGCATATAGGTCCTTAATAAATAAGTGTCTCCCCATCCTGACCCTTTTTTATGGGGCTTGCGGGCGGAAGTGTCCCTGCTGTGAACTATATATATATCATATATATCCATCCGTTCCCCACTCCTGTATTTGAATGGTCTTGGTCTTGTCCTCCCTGGACTCCATGAATGTGCTACCTATTTGAATGTGCTTCATTTTAAAAAAAACGAGTAATGCCGAGTACTCGCCGATTTCCGATGTTGACCGAGTAGCAAAACTCGCCGAGTAACTCGGAAAATTAACTCGGACCGAGTTAAGTTGCTAATCGGCAAGGTAAGGACCCGAGTTGCGAGTCCTCACCGAGTACTCGCCGAGTACTCACCGAGTAGATAACCTAGGTCATATATTTATGTTAATCAACTTATCAAAGTATTTAATATTATAATAATAAGCAATAAACATTAAAATTTAAACCTAATTAAAGAAACAAATTAAATATTGTAATTAGTAATTTTACGGTTGAAAACATAATATTAAATCCTAGAAAGTACAATAAAAAATTGAAAAAACAATTTATCGAGAAATAATATTACTAAAGTTTTGAATTTTTTATACTCAAACACGTAAAACTAAAAATTTAAATGCATTCAATTTATCAAAACACAAATTATGAAACAATTGCACTCTAGAAAACCAGTTAGAAGTTAGCATTAGAAAACAAAACATTAAGATTGTGGAAAAAATTGGTGAATGATGGAATGAAATCAATGTTGTTGGCTTCCTGTTGCGCCACAGGTGTACTCGCACCCACCATAGGCATACTTGCGTCTGCCACAGGCTCACGATGCCAGTTTGTCTTCTTTCTCTTCACTGTGCTTTTTTCTTTCATGATTTGCGTTCGGTGTCATTTGCACTCTGATTTGCTGAGCATTTAAGAAGTCATTTGAGAATTGTACTATAGAGTTCCCTATTATTGTCAGAGTGTAAAAGGATGGGATTTGAGTACTTTCTTATTTCTTATAGTCATGAATGAATTTACGAAGTTGATTCAAGAAGATATATCGTTGTGCGTGATATTTGCAGATGATATTGTATTGATTGGTGAGACACAATCGGGTGTTAAAACAAAATTGGAAGTATAAAGACAAACTTTGGAGAACATAGAGTTTCACGTTGAGTCGAAGCAACACTAAATGTATTTCATGTTTATAAATAAAGTATAGTCAAAGTAGAGCATGAGAATAGTGTACAATTTTCCATGTTGCCACTAAAAGGAACAGAGGATAGTATTATTTTATACACACGCACACTTTATAAACTGTTTATGTTAGTGGTACACCATACCATAATAAATGGCACAACATATCGTCTACCAAAATAGCGTACCAAAGAAGCCTACCCTCCAGGTGTATCAGATTTATGATATTAGCTATTCGCGATTCCATTTTTGTTCCGTGTTTCGAAGCATACCGTGATCTATGTGACTATGGTCGATTCATATTAGTCGACCTCAAACTCTTTTAGGATTAAGGCTGGGTTGTTGTTGTCGTAGTATTGATATTAGTAAGTTACGGAGTAATACATAGTGCTCTGTAGTGTGCTGCCGTTATCCACAGGAGACAAATGACCTGCAGCCCTGGGTGGGTTGAACAATGTTTTAATTTAAAGTAGGTGTTAGTTTTACACACTAGGCCACTGTTAATTTTTATTTTATTTTATATATTCCTAATAGTGCTAGTCCAGGTTGCATTGGCCCATGACCCATGCTACCCCCCTTCTCTGTCAATGCGAGGAAGTGTTTTACCCAGGGTGGATCCAGAAATCTAGGTTAGGTTTGGCTGGGCTGGTGGAACTGTGCCGAAGGGTAATTATACTAGATATAACGGGTGAGTTAAATGGGGTAAAACGAAAAGAAGACATTAAAAAATTAACAAAAAATTAGGTTGTCATAATGTGGATCTACCCCTGTGAGATACACCTTACACCTTATGAAATGATGTGAATCTATAAGGGATCTATCTGATGTCTAAAGATTTGCTCGTTTTTAAAAGTTACATGACAAGAAAATTCTCTTCAGCCTCACTGAGATTTTGTTTTGTATTTTGAAGGCTACTTAACATCAAGTTCTGTTTGTGATTGGCTGATTTTTTTGTTGATATTGTTTTTGAGGGTATGTGCCTTAGCAGTTGAAACATTGTATAACTCATTCTATAATCCAATGGTTTTGAGAGTGGATGGAATATTTATTTAGCCATTCTCTCAAAGTATATTATAAAAAAATGGTGAACTTATTGATTCAGCTAGAATTTTGTGTGTGGCATAGCCATAGAGCATGCGCAAGGTAATTAGAGCTGCAATAGAAATGCATAACATAGAGCATTGTGCAAGGTAATTTCACTTAAAATGATACTCTGATGCTGACTTAGAAGAGAGTGCAGATGCAACCAGTATATTTGCTTTCTGCGAACTTAATAATTGAACTTTTATTAAAATTTTGAAATTATTTACATATTGTAACACTTGATCCTTCCCATGTCAAGGTTCCTTCTTTTCCCTTGTTGGCCATCTTAAAGCTAGTTTCCTCTTTTTCTCCAAGGATTGAATTGTGTGGTTCATATTATTTCTCTCACATTAAAATACATCTGTAACCACTCAATTTTACTTGTGTTAATGAGAGTGTTGGGTCAAAACTTGCAATCAAGGCATGTTTGGTTGGGGGATTTTGGAAGGGTGGAGATGAGAGGGAAGTATTTTTTTTAAATATGTTTTAATAAAGCAACTAATCAAATGGCTATTAACGTTAGCCTACCCCAAACTCTTTAAAAACTCTTTAAAGCAACTAATGCATCTCTTATTTGTGAATCTAAAAAAACTAGTCTGTTTTTGCTAAAATCATGTGTTTCTGTTTAAGTTTCCTATCTTCACTTTCTTTCCAACCATGTAACTGTAAGAATAAATATATCTTTATAATAAATATCAATCTCCTCTCTCAAATCCCCCAACCGTACAAGGCTTGGGGATGATAATGGGCCTGCTGTGTCTTGTCAAGAGCATAATTTGCATCCATGTGGATTTCTCTATTCAAACTAACTTTCTTATCTTTGTATTGAATTACAGATGTTTCATTTGATGCCAACACAAACTGGAAGTTTTTATGTGCACAATGACGTATTCCGCTTGAACTATGCATGAAGGCGGGAAACTGTGTATTGGTTTATATTTTCTTGATGATGGAATTGTCAAAAATGAAAAACGACTGAACAAAATCTGTCATGGTTGTAGAAGTCAGACAATACTTGGTTTGGATTGTGCTTTGTTTGGTTGTTTACTTGTTCTTGAGCTTTATAATTAAAATAGACTGATGAGTTTGATGATGAGTAATTGAGTAGCTAGTATGGAATGTTTAGGAAATTGAGTTGGTTGGTTTCCTCTATTTAAAGAGTACTTGCTTGTTTCGTCTCTTCCAAGTTCCACCTTATTTCCACCGGGGCATGGATTTTGTGTATTGCAATGGACAGGTTATTTCACAGTAGGGGTGGGTGCGGTCCGGTCCGGTCCAATATTTGGCCGAACCTGTACCCATACTGTTACTATTCAAACGGTTCGGTTCGGTTTGGTCTTAGACCTAAACCCGTTCGGTATGGTTTCATTTTGAAACGGGACGGTACCATGCCATACCAATATCAAACAATGTCACTTTTTCCAAGTGTTTAAGAGACAATTAAAGTTTAGTCGTCCTCCAAAAATCTAAACAATTTATCAATTTTCATACTCATTCCATCCCAAATTGACATGCAAAGTCAATATTTTTTTGTCAACCAATGTTAGAGTTAAATTCTCTTCATTGATAATTAATTCAATTTGTAATAATTAAAATAAACATATTCAGAAACATATTCATAAATTTCTTCAAAGTTGCAAGCTCCAAATTAAATATAATTAAAAATTGACATTCTAGTTAAGTGAATAAAATGAATCTGTTTGACAAAAAAAAGTTACTTTTGCAAATAAATTTGGGACGAAGGTAGTATTACATAATTAATAAATTTCAGATAAATTATAGTAGTACAAATTTAAATGATTAAACCATACATCGGTCCGATTCCAGGCTTCCTATGAACTAGCAAAGACGGTGAAAATGTAAAGGCACTAGTCAAAATAATGATATAAATGTAAATTTAAATAATTAAATCATACTTTGGTCCGGTTCGGTCCGGTTTCGGTTCTCATTTTATGAGAACCGGTCATGGCATTGTTTAGAATCGGTACGGTTCGGTTCGGGACAAAAAATTGAGATCCGTTTCAAACCCCGTTTTTCGGTCCGGTACCATATCGGTTCGGTTCGGTACCATGCCGGTTCGGTATTTTTGCCCACCCCTATTTCACAGAATAACAGGCAAGCAGTGGACAATTAAGGGCATTGCAATGGATGCATTTCTCTAGACAGAACCAATTTGCAGTTGAGTTAAAATAAAGAGTCAATTCCCTAAATAGGACTAAAAAGTGGCAAAATTGCACAAATAGGACTACATTTTTTAAATTCCCTTAATAGGACTATTTATGTGTGTTTGGACAAATATACCCTTGTAACTTGTAAAATGTTTTAATTAATAATAAAATCATAAAAAAATTTATAAAAATCGAAAAAAATACTAAAAATCGTAAAAAAATAAAAGAAAATTAATAAAAAATATTTAAAAAAAAATAAAAAAAAAATTTATTTAAAAAAAATCATAAAATTAAAAAAAAATCATAAAATTAAAAAAAAACATTACCACCCCCTGCCACCCCCAGCACCACCAACTCCCATCACCGGAGAAAAATATGCCAACATTTTAAATAATGCCATAATGATGGCATATTCAATGAAAATGTTGGCATATTGAAGAATAATTATGCCATCCTTTTAGCATTTTCAGAAAAATATGGCATTTTTTACCAAAAGTGGAAGAAATTTCACCAATCGGAGGTGGTGGTGCTGGGAGGCGGCGGGAGGCGGTGGGAAAGGTATCCATATTTTTTTTTTTCATTTTTATGGGTATTTACTATTTTTTATTATTTTTTTTTAAAAAATTTAAAAAATAAAAAATTTATTTTTTAATTTTATAAATGTTTTATAAATTTTTTATAATTTTTTTACGTTTTTAAAATATTTTTTACGTTTTTTATGATTTTATTATGAATTAAAGCATTTCATTATGGATTAATACTCTTAGGGGTATTTAGGGTAGAAAATCAATATTTAGTCCTATTTAGGGAATTTTAAAAGTAGTAGTCCTATTTGTGCTTTTTAGGAACTCATTAGTCCTATTTAGGACAATTTCCGTAAAATAAACATACATACTCGATGGGATGGCTCACGAATTCAATCCCCCATCTAGGGGTGGATTCGGCCCGGGTCGGGCCTAGGCCCGGGCGGGCCGGTGGTTCAGAATTGGTGGACCCGGGACTATGGATGGACTCGGTTCGGGCCGGGCCCGGTCGGGCCTCCGGCCCTGGATTGGAGGGCCCGGAACTGGCCCGTGTAACCGCCGGGTCGGGCCGGGTCGGGCCTCGTTTGTTTTTGCCTTTTCCTAATTAACCCCCAACCCCCCCAACACCCAAACCACCCCAAATGGCCCAAAATACCCAGCTCAATCCAAAAACTTAAAAAAAAGTTCAAAAAAAAAAAAATTAAAATGGCCCGGACCGGGGCCGGTTCACGTTTTGAGGGGCCCGTGCCCGGACCGGAACAACCCCGGGTCGGGCCTACCCGGACTGGTCCATGACCGGGCCACTGGGCCGGTCCTGAACAGTGGCGGGCCGGTTCCAGGTCGGGCCACCCGGCCCGAGTCCACCCATACCCGGGACCGGCCCGGGTAGCCACCAGGTCCGGGCCGGGCTGGGCCTCCGGTTTGGTTAATTAATTAATTAATTTATTTATTTATTTATTTATTTATTTATTTATTAATTTATTTATTTATTTATTTATTTATTTATTTATTTATTTATTTATTTATTTATTTATTTATTTATTTATTTATTTATTTATTTATTTATTTATTTATTTATTTATTTATTTATTTATTTATTTATTTATTTATTTATTTATTTATTTATTTATTTATTTATTTATTTATTTATTTATTTATTTATTTATTTATTTATTTATTTATTTATTTATTTATTTATTTATTTATTTATTTATTTATTTATTTATTTATTTATTTATTTATTTATTTATTTATTTATTTATTTATTTATTTATTTATTTATTTATTTATTTATTTATTTATTTATTTATTTATTTATTTATTTATTTATTTATTTATTTATTTATTTATTTATTTATTTATTTATTTATTTATTTATTTATTTATTTATTTATTTATTTATTTATTTATTTATTTATTTATTTATTTATTTATTTTTTGCTTTCCTAACCCCCCCCACCCCCCAAACCCCTCCTAACCATCAAGCCCAACCCAGGTGGAACCCCAAAAAATGAAAAAAAAAAAAAATCAATTTGGCCCGGGCCCAACCCGGCCGGGCTGGTTCGCCAAATGTAAGACCCGAGCCCGGACCCGCACCCCCGGGCCTAGGCCCGACCCGGTCTCGCACATTAGCGGGCCGGTCCCGGTCCCGCACAGTAGCGGGCCGGGCCTGTCCACGGGCCGGGTGGCCCGACCCGAATCCACCCCTACCCCCATCCATCATTTGTGTTAATTGAATAATGAAAACACGCACGGTTTCATTGGAACTAAGAATTGATAAATTGAACCATATTGAATCGTTATGGCCCGGTTCAGTATGGTTCCAATATCAATTAATTACTATCTCCGTCGTGGAAACAAGTTCCAGGATTGATTTTCACACATTCTAAGGAAATAAAGTTGCTGAAGGGTAAATTTTATTGTTTTGACACTGTTTTGACATTGTTTCGACACTGTTTCGACATTGTTTCGACACTGTTTCAACATTGTTTCGACACTGTTTGACACTATTTTGCACTGTTTGATGTAGATTAATTTGCCAAATAGGGAAGTGAGAAGTTTATTTTGGGACATTCAAATAAGGAAAGTGAGAACTTATTTTCGGGACGGATGGAGTATTTATATTAATGGTTTGGTTTTTATTTTTTATTGATGGTTCCTTTCTCGGTTCTTATAAAAAATATGTATGCAAAACTGTTAAAGAACTTTGTAGTGTGCAATTTTGCCATCAAATTTGATGTGGATTCTTCCTTACAAATACTATTTGAACAAAGATCCGCTCTCGCAACTCTAGCTCCATTCACATTTCTCATATATTCATTTATGGAGTACACCTTGCTCAACATTTGTGCAAGAATTGCACAATCTCGCAACAAGCTCAAATCTTGGGCTGAGTTTTAAATTTTGGATACATACTTTCAACAGTCACAACTATTGGATCCCAGTAGTGTGAATAGGAATATCATTAGGAATACTAGTGGAAACACAATCGTCATTTGCATCACCTGTGATACCATCTCCTAGAAGTGCTATCCAATCTGAAAACGTTTTCATGTCACATGAATCTTTCGGATTTTTCAAAACTTGCAAACACGCCTTTTTAATCTCAAAATTTTACAATCTGATCACAAATATGAAGAGTTAATCGTAGCATTAACAATATTTTATATTTTATGTTCTTTATCTCCTACTTTGTGTTGATGACATAATCATTGGTGATAATGACTCTGTGTGTATACCTCTGTTCTAAAAAAACGTTCTAGGCGTCCGACTAGTCCCCGCCTAGGCGGTGGCCAGACGCCCCAATTTTCGTCTAGGCGCTCCGACTAATTGGTTTGCTATCTAGGTGAATAAGTCGGCCGCCGATTGCGCCTAGTTGCCTACCTAGAGCGTCTAATCTGCCACCTAGATCGTCTAGATTCGCCGAACATTGCTTTCCTTTTTAGTTTAATTTTCTAAACCATATATGTGCTTTAACTTTAGCCATGAATATAAAGAAATGAAGTTGTAAATTAAGATAAACTATATATGTTTGTATATATACCTAAATTTTATCATTATTTATTTTTATAACATAATGAAGTTAAGTGATTAGTTATCATATACTACATATGATTAAATGTGATAATTCTATTATTCATGTTTGATAATGTATATGTATATATGTATTTTATACACACAAAAATACAATATTACTTATCATATTTATGCAAAAATATAGATAAAATGCAATTTCTATGTCTCCGACTAGTCCCCAACTAGGCGCCCCGCCTAGGCGCTGGACTGGCGCCCGACTAGCGCCTAGCGCCTTTTAGAAATACATAAATTTATTTCTTTGTTACCTTGGCTTTTACTTTTTTTCTTTAAAGGATTTGGGTGATCTCCATTTTATTGTGGAGCAAGTTCAGGTAGTGTGCACTTCTCGAAGTTTGTTTATGTGTATGACTAAATATGTTTATGTGCACTTCTCGAAGTTTGTTTAGACTAAGACATAACTCTAAATATGTGTATGATATAT